GGAAGCTCCCAGATTAAGACAATGGTACTTAACATGTAAGGAAGCTCCCAGATTAAGACAATGGTACTTGACAGTCTAAGGAAGCCCCAGATTAAAACAATGATACTTCACAGTCTAAGGAAGCTCCCATATTAAAACAATGGTACTTCACAGTCTAAGGCCAGATTAATACAATGGTACTTGAACATGTAAGGAAGCTCCCAGATTAAGACAATGGTACTTGACAGTCTAAGGAAGCCCCAGATTAAAACAATGATACTTCACAGTCTAAGGAAGCTCCCATATTAAGAGAAGATACTTTACAATCTAAGAAAGCTCCCATATTAAGACAATGGTACTTGATAGTCAGAGGAAGCTCCCAAATTAAGACAATGGTACTTCACAGTCTAAGGCCAGATTAATACAATGGTACTTGAACATGTAAGGAAGCTCCCAGATTAAGACAATGGTATTTCACTGTCTAAGGAAGTTCCCATATTAAAACAATGATATTTGACAGTCTAAGTAAGCACCCAGATTAAAACAATAATACTTGACAGTCTAAGGAGGCTCCCAGATTAAGACAATGATACTTGACAGTCTAAGGAGGCTCCCATTATATATCAAAGCAGAAGGATAGGAATGGCAAAAACAGTATTCTTCAATCTCAAAAAATTGCCCAGGAGAGATTTCAAACTATAACAGAAGAAGAGACAACTAAAATATTACCTGTGATCAGTCCTATATACTCTACAGGGTGGACCTTGTCTGTTGAAACAAAACAAGAGTTTGAAATGTAGTTTTATAGACAAATGATAGAGATCAGACACGTGTAAAAACTAATGACGTACTGGAATGTGCTATGATGAATGTATTCAGTGCATTATGCTTAATGCTGAATTTAGAGTCATTGTTAGAGTCATTTCCTTTCGGCAACTCATATTTAAAACTCAAAATTTAAACATATTATTGGTGGCTAAAGGTTTAAGCGAAAATCTCCTGAGCCCAAAACTGTAATTAGATCTCAAATTGGTCCACAGATGATGGAACTATGAGATAAAAGTCTCTTTTGGAAAAAAAAACAACAACAACAACAAACTTACTTAGTGCCGTTTGATGAGCCACTAAGCCGTGGCTAAATATTGAAGTCTGCTTTAGTATAACGTCTCATTTTTATTTCACTTGGTAGTGTATATGTATATACGCAAATACACACACATGAAGTTATATATATATATATATATATACATACACACACACATGAATATATATATATATACATATATACACATACACACACATGAATATATATATATATATATATAAAACATTTCTAGTAAGTCTCTAATTTGTTTATTATTTAATCGTAACTTTTATTTAGAGTTAAAACAAGACAAACTATCCTATCATTATGTTTTGTGTTTTAATTTTACTAGGATACGTTTTCTATGAACGACTCAATAGAAATCTAACTGTTAAGGCCATGTATCCTGTTTTACAGATAATTTCAATTGTTTCAGGTAGGTATCAGATACCCTAACTTGTTTCAGGTAAGTATCAGATAACCTCACTTATTTCAGGTAAGTATCAGATAACCTCATTTCTTTCAGGTAGGTATCAGATAACTGAACTTGTTTCAGGTAGGTATCTGATAACCTCACTTGTTTCAGGTAGGTATCATTAACCCCACTTGTTTCAGGTAGGTATCATTAACCCCACTTGTTTCAGGTAGGTATCATTAACCCCACTTGTTTCAGGTAGGTATCAGATAACCTCACTTGTTTCAGGTAAGTGTCAGATAACCTCACTTGTTTCAGGTAAGTGTCAGATAACCTCACTTCCTTCATGTAGGTATCATTAACCCCACTTGTTTCAGGTAGGTATCTGACAACTTCACTTATTTCAGGCAAGTATCAGATAACCTCACTTGTTTCAGGTAAGTATCAAATAACCTCACTTGTTTTAGGTAAGTATCACTATTTATATGAACTAACTAAAGTTACAAAATAAATAAAATCGTTAATTTTTTTTACGTACTTGTTCTTGTAACTGCGCGTTAACCTTTATGAGACTTTCTCTCCACTGTTCTTCAATATCTATTTTCTCTATCCTCTGCAACAGTTGTTTTTTCTCTTCCTCTAACTGAGTTATTATATCACATAGTCCCTGCGATCTCTCTGCTCCAACACGCAGTTGTATCAGTTCTTCTTGGAGCAATGTTTTATCTTGTTCTAATGTAGCAATGACATCTTCTTGATTCCTTCGAACGCTGTCCAGATCGGCTAAGTGGGAATTGGAAGCAGAGAGACACTGGCGAAGACGAGTGATCTTAATTGGGATTTGGTTTGAAAAATAGCTGATTTCAGTTGAACGGTAAACTTCAACAATGTTAATAAAACAAGAACATCCTTTTATTGTAAAAAGTAAACGTTAATTATGTGAAAAATAAGAGAAGTCGAGAATATTCGTTACTATTAAACAGAATCTCTTAACTTAGTAACACTTCATTTTTTAAAATCAAATATGTATACATAAGTTGTTAATTTGATTTGAGAATTGCGTTTAGTGTTCACTTTAATTCCACGAAAGATTGACTTTAAAAGTAAACTTGTTTATTTTAGTGTAGTATGTGTGAAATATTTTTATACTAGGCTACATTCCATCATTGTTAAATGTTTAATGTCCTGCATTGTTCTAGAGCAGCCATCACATTAGAGTTTTGTGAATATACAAAACATTCCTTGAAGTTGAGAAAGTTACAGACAACGTTTCGAAAATCAACATTTTTATACTAGGCTACATTCCATC